TGGACTTGTTTTCATTTTCTTCAGCTTCAGTTTGAAATTACATGTGAGTAATTGATGGTCTGTTCCACAGTCTGCCCCTGGCCTTCTTTTGACTGATGATATGGAGTTTTTTCATCGTCTCTTTCCGCAGATGTAGTCAGTTTGATTTCTGTGTATTCCTCTGGCAAGGTCCATGTGTATAGTCATCTCTTATGCTGTCTAAAGAAGGTATTTGAAATGAACAAATCATTGATTTTTGCAGAATTCTATCATGCATTCTCCAGCATCATTTCTATCACCAAGGCCATATTTTCCAGCTACTGATCCTTCCTCTTTGCTTCCACCCTTTGCATTCCAATCATCAGTAATGAGCAATACATCTTGATTGCATGTTTGATCAATTTCAGATTGAAGAAGTTGGTAGAATTCTTCTATTCCAGCCTCACTGGCTTTAGTGGTTGGTGCATAAATTTGAATAATAGTGGCACATGGATATTATCCTATCACTTACATCATTGTACCTCATGACTGATCTGGATATGTTCTTTTTGACAATGAATGCAACACCATTCCTCTTCTATTTGTCATTCCCAGCATAGTAATCATGTGGTCATCAGATTCAGAATGGCCAATACCAGTCCATTTCAGCCACTAATGTCTAAGATATTGATGTTTATGCATTCCATTTCATTTTTGACAGTTTCTAACTTTCCTAGATTCATACTTCTTACTTTACATGTTCCGATATTCAGTGGATGTTTACAGCTGTGTCTCCTCATTTTGAGTTGTTGCCCCATCAGCAAATGAAGGTCCCGCAGGCTGTTCTCCCACGGGCTTTACTCCATTCGCGTCATCACGGTCAACTCTACTCTGAGGAGGCGGCTCTTCCCCAGTCGCATTTTGAGTGCCTTCCAACCCGAGGGGCTCATTTTCTGGCACTATATTCGACAGTGTTTCTCTGCTATTCATAAGGTTTTCAGTGACTAAATATTTGGAAGTAATTTGTCACTCCTTCCTAGTCTGTCTTCGTCTGGAAGCTCATCTGAAACGTGTCCACCGTGGGTGACCCTGCTGGTATTTAAAATACCCATGGCATAGCTTCCAGAATCACAGCAACTCACAAGTCACCACAGTACGACAAACTGTTTCACCTAAGGCCCATTAAATATTGAAGCATACACACACACACAGAAATACACAGTTTTTTTCCACAGCATAATTGTAGGCAACAATGTTTTGCTTACTTCCTTTACTGACTTCTTTTAAATAGATAGCAGTCTCTCTTAGCTGTTGGATCTTGAACATTTGTATTTTAATATTAGTCCCTTGAATCAGTTTTTGCTAATTTGGGGTCCTGGTGTGGCTCTGTAGGATAAGCACTTGACTGCTAACTGCAAGGTTGGGGTTTGAACCCATCAGCCGCTCTTTGGAAACACTAAACAGGGTTACTGTGAGTCAGAACCAACTCCACGGCACTTAACAACAGCAATTTATAAATCTATAGTCTTTTTATTTATTGAAGCATGAAAACTCATCTTCTGTTGCCGTTAAAATGAGAAGTGTTGGTATGCGTTCTTTTCTGTTCGGACGTTTTAATCGTGGAGCGTTTACTTCTGCTCATATTGAATATCTGACCGCCAAAGTCAACTTTGCCTGAAGTATCACAACTCAGGAGACTTTCACATTAGTAGTAAACGCACAGGCGTTTCCCCTCGGGTGAAGCATCTCAAGTAGGCTGATGAGCGGAAGCTGGAAGGAGTGAGCAGGCTGAGGGCTGAGGGGGAGGGTGTTCATGGTAACGGGGCAGAGCCCTGGTGATGGGCACGTAGCATTGTCCATGTAGGTTGAAGTGGCATGTTTCATGCAGTATGTGCATATTTACCGTCATTTTTAAAAACTCAGGAAAGCAGCAAAGGTACTTTAGTTTTCCTTACTCTCCACTTACATCTTGACATGGAGCTTTTCTGGATTACTTACTGATAAGCAGACTCTTCATCACTCCCATTTGTCATTTCTCAGGCGAGCTGGATGACCATTTGATGCCAGTGGGGAAAGAGACTGTTAAATATGAAGAAGAACTTGATTTACACGATGAAGAAGAAACCAGTGTTCCGGGAAGACCGGGTTCCACAAAACGAAGACAGTGCTACCCAAAGGCTGTTAGTATTGATTGTTGTTGTTGTAGTTAAGTGCTGTTGCTTCCAACCCATAGCAACCCTGTATAGGATTTCTGTGGAGAGGCTGGGGAGCTTCAAATCACTAACCTTGTGGTTCCAACCTCCCTTTCAGTCCAGCGCGTTAACCCGCAGCGCATTAGGACGTATGACATGCTAGCCTGTCATTTCCTGCCATATCAAGTCTCGGTTTCTCTGTTAGGCTTCCCAGGCCCCTGTTGTTGGGCTCACAATGGGGTCTTAGCCCGTGCCCCAGCTTCCCTAGATCAGTCCCTTCACTTCCTTGTGGACCCTGCTCCTTCCTACCTCAGATTCTCCAGGAGTCTACCCAGAAGTCAATTTCATTCAGAAAGATGGTTTTGTCATTTAGTTTAGGGGTAAGATGCTTGCTTTACTTGTGAATGGAGCTAGGACAAAGGGGGTCGAGTGTGGTAAAATCGGCAGGGTGGAGGATGTCCTGTCCACGATGAGAGGCAGCGTACACAGGGAGGTGGAGAACGGCCATCTGTCCAGGGCCAGGGTGTGGACTGCTGAGTCGTTTCAGTGGACTGTACCAGCTTTTAGTGATGCCAGGAATCCATTGTTTTCATGCGCCTTAATCTTTATTTCCAACTGCAGATCCCAGAATGTTTGAGGGATAGCTACCCCAAACCCGACCAGCCCTGCTACCTGTATGTGATCGGCATGGTTCTAACCACCCCTTTGCCCGATGAGCTCAACTTTCGAAGGCGGAAGCTCTACCCTCCCGAGGATTCCACCAGATGCTTTGGAATATTGACAGCCAAACCCATACCTCAGGTAGACACTCGATGGTAACAGTGGTGCCTATGAAAAATTCCTTTTTTTTAAAAAAAAATAAAAGGATTAGTAGCTGCCCCTTGTTCACCCGTGATGTGTAAAGTCTGCCATATGCCCCTTGATGGAAGGCTGCGTCCTCCCTCTTCCGAAGTCGCGTTTGTAGCGGAAGGCAGCACCGCCTGCTCGTCTGAGAGGTGCCTCTGTTCTCTCTGTCCAGATCCCGCACTTCCCTGTGTACACGCGTTCTGGAGAAGTGACCATATCTATTGAGCTCAAGAAGTCTGGCTTCACGTTGTCCCTACAAATGCTGGAGTTGATTACAAGGCTTCACCAGTATATATTCTCGCACATTCTTCGGCTTGAGAAACCTGCACTAGAATTTAAACCTACAGACGCTGACTCAGCATACTGCGTTCTACCTCTTAATGTTGGTAAGCAGGTCCCACACTTTCGCATTTGGCCCATTAATGCCAGCTCAAAATCAAGGGCTTTGCATAGCTGTGAGCTGATTTTGTTTCCTATAAGATTTCTCTTCCTTTGCCCAGGAGAACTGTAAATTAGACCCCTCAGTGAACATAAAGCTTAAGTAGAATCTGCTGTGTATTATGACTTTTGCGACAAGCTAAAGAATCTTTTTGTGTGTCTTCCCCAGTGAGTGACTCCAGCACATTGGATATTGACTTTCAGTTCATGGAGGAGATCGAGAAATCTGAAGCTCGCATAGGCATCCCCAGCACAAAGTATTCAAAGGAAACACCCTTTGTTTTTAAATTAGAAGATTACCAGGATGCAGTTATCATTCCAAGGTGGGTGCTTAACCACCGAGGCAAGTGGGGGCGGTCCCTTGCTGGAAAACCAAAGCTTGCTCATCAGGGAAGGTAAGCAGGCCACCACTTTGGCATGGACAGCACCCATTAGAAGTGGAGGCATCTCATTACCTGGGTCTGTTCTCTGGAGTTTGTCTGTTCTCTGGAGTTTGTCAGAACTGCCACCAAGTCAGTTCTGATGCCGAGTTGGATTTTCAAGGAGCAGCTGGTGGGTTTGAACCGCTGACCTTGTAGTTAGTAGACTAGTGCTTGTCCTATAGCATCATACCAGGACTCCCTCAAACATAACAACTGAAGGGATTTGCCTCTGTGAACATCACATAACCTAATCTGTCATACTGATTTTCTTCTTCAAATCTCTGTCCTTTAATCCCCAAATTCGTTTTATTGAATTTGATGGTAAATAATTGTGTTTTATTTCAAAATTCATTTTACAATGAATAAGGTTACCAAGCTCAGTGAACACAGTAAACCAGAATGTGTTTTTCTTAGTGAAAACTTAGGGACTTTCTGTGCAATAAAATTCTGTGCAGGCACAAAGAACTAGGGAAGTGACTGAGAGTCAGTCTTCCTTTGATTAGTTTTTGCACCTCAAAATCATCATTTGCTAGCTCTCATTGTCTAAATGTTGTCAGGTGCTATCCAGTTGGTTCCGACACATAGTGACCCTGTCTAGGATTCCCAAGGAGTGGCTGGTGAGTTTGAACTGCTGACCTTGTGGTTCAAGCTGACCTTATATTTCCATGTTAGCTGTCATTGTAAACTGTGACTACTGTAGATGGCCCAGAAGTACATCTTACCATGACAAATGTCTTCTGTTTCGTGTGGTTGTTGTTGTCACCCAGTGAGTTCCAACTCCTAGTGACCCTGCATAGAGTTTCTAAGGTGTGGCTTGTGGTTAGCAGTCCAGTGCTTAACCCACAATACCACGCCAGGACTCCAGACTACCTGCCATTGTTAAGTGCCATCGAACTGTTTCTGACTCATAGCAACTCTGTCTAGCACTTTTCAAGCCTGTAAATCTTTGCAGGAGCAGAAAGCCTCATCTTTCTCACAAGAAGGGGCTGGTAGACTCGAACTGCTGACCTTGTGGTTGGAAGGCCAGTGCTTACCCTGCAGTTCTCCTGTTCCCCTGTTTCAGTTATTAGGTACATAGTATTTACGCAGTTATTGTAGATGCTGGAAATGTTGTAAACTGTTTATATTGATGAAATTAAGAGATACTTCAAGATGCCACTTAGCTTTCATGTTATATCAAAGTAGCTACTTAGAACAAGAGTAAGAATAATAAAGTAGGGAGAATGATCAGGTTTTACTTTCTAGAAAACATTGTCCCAAGTACACCAGGAATATATCTTTTGGAATAGAACTTTTCATTCATGTTTTACTAATTTTTAACTTTTTCAACAATAGTGAGGTTGGCCCAGGATCAGGCAGTGTTTTATTCTGCTGTGCATAGGGTCACTATGAGTCAGTACCGACTCGATGGCACCTGACAACAAGAACAAACACTCTAAAATCATCATTTCCACATTAAACACAGCTGTGTTTGGGAAGTAGATGACTTACACCAAAAAGTCACTCGTTTTCTTTTTCAGATACCGCAATTTTGACCAGCCTCATCGATTTTATGTGGCTGACGTGTACACCGATCTTACCCCACTCAGCAAATTTCCTTCTCCCGAGTATGAAACATTTGCAGAATATTATAAAACAAAGTACAACCTCGATCTGACTAATCTCAACCAGCCGCTGCTGGATGTGGACCACACATCCTCCAGGTAAGGAGCTTTGCCTGAGGCCCCACTGCCCACCAGGCACCCTTGGGAATCTAGCACGATCTCCCACACAGAACTGCCCAGGGTGGGGCTCAGGGACCTTCAGATGACTGGCCCACATGCTGAGGTGGGAGTGTGTGTTTGATTTTGTTTGTTTGATAAAAGAAGTGATTTTGAAATCTCTCCAGACTGAATCTGCTGACACCTCGCCATTTGAATCAGAAGGGGAAGGCTCTCCCTCTGAGCAGTGCTGAAAAGCGGAAAGCCAAATGGGAAAGTCTGCAGAATAAACAGGTAACGGGCAAGTTGTCACTAGGGGGACCTTGTTGTTGATAAGTGCCATTGAGTTGGTTCTGACTCGTAGCGACCCTGTGTAGGGTTTCTGAGAGCAGCTGGTGGCTTTGAACTGCTTATCTCGTGGTTAGCAGTCCAATGCTGATCCCATAGCACCACCAGAGCGCAGAAAGCCCCTGTCCTAGGGGTTTTATATGGTCCTTACATTCTTTCTGTAAACCGTAGGATAAATGTCAGTTAGCCCGAGAGGTTTTTGTAAACTTCTTTACAACTACATGTCGCTAGTGTTTAAGATGGTTTTTCTTCATCTATAATTTTCTTTCGTGTGTGTGTGTGTGTGTGTGTGTGTGTGTGTGTGTGTGTGTGTGCGCGCGCACACTTGCTTACCCGTCTACCTTTTTCCTTATTCATAGATCCTGGTTCCCGAGCTCTGTGCTATCCACCCAATCCCAGCATCCCTGTGGAGGAAAGCAGTGTGTCTGCCCAGCATACTTTACCGCCTTCACTGCCTTCTCACCGCAGAGGAGCTCAGAGCCCAAACGGCCAGCGATGCCGGTGTGGGCGTCAGATCCCTTCCTGCGGATTTTAGGTAGGCTGCTAACCACAAGGTGGGCAATTCAAACCCGCCAGCTACTGCATGGGCGTGAGCTGTGGCTCTCTGTTCCCGGAGATGTCTGCAGTGTGGATACCCCAAAGAGGAGTTCAGCTTTGTCCTTTGGGGCCCTAGGGTCCTGTTTAAACTCGAATAGAATAAGTTAGAATTTTCATTTTATGTACATTCATTATTAAAAAATGAGCCCGAAAGCCTGGAGGTACCTGAAGCAACTGCATCATTAGGCTCCTTGATGAGCCCAGTGAGGTCAGGAGTAACCTTCCTTCCATGCAGATGGTCGCATTGCTGTGGTGCAGACATTTCCAGGCTGTTTCTAAAATCACGACACCAATGTCCAAGAGTGATTGCACCCCAGGTACCTGCTGTCATTACTGACTGAGGACAAACACTGCCTTCATGTGCTACTACCTGCATTACCTCATTTTACCCTAGGACAGTCTTGTAAGGTCTGAACAGTTATGAGCCTCATTGAGTGTGGAGGCTGAGTTCTCAAGAAGTTACATAAATGACCCAAAGTTTCCCAGCCAGTTAACTGGAGGCCCTGGGATTTCAACCCGGGCAGGCAGTCTGGCTTTCAGCCTCCAGGCTCCAGGACCTTTGACCATCATACTGTGCTTTGGTAGTAAATACAGCAATGCAATAAATACCGACCCACTTCATTTCCAATGGGCCAAATTCCAAAGAAAGTTGATTTCTGCCTTGCTGCCTCCTCTGTGAATTAGGCGCCTACTTATTGAGATCTCTGGGGGATTTTTGTTTGTTTTTTTAATTCAGTTTCTCTTGCTTTAAGCTTAGCTCTTTAGAAGGATCTGATGAAAAGTGACCAAAATGTCTTTACAGATACCCTAACTTAGACTTCGGGTGGAAAAAATCTATCGACAGCAAATCTTTCATCTCAATTTCTAACTCCTCTTCCGCCGAACACGACAATTACTGTAAGCACAGCACAATGGTAGTCCCTGAAAATGCTGCACATCAAGGTGCTAATAGGAACCCCTCTCTAGAGAATCATGACCAAATGTCTGTGACCTGCAGAGCGCTACTCAGCGAGCCACCTGGTAAGCTCCCCACTGACGTTTCCACAGATCTTAAAGCAATTAACGGTCTTTCATACAATAAAAACCTTGCCAACGGCAGTTACGATTTAGCTAACAGAGACTTTTGCCAAGGAAATCAGCTGGATTACTACAAGCAGGAAATACCTGTACAACCAACTACCTCATATCCCATTCAGAGTTTATACAATTATGCGAACCAGCCCAAGCCCCGCGATGAATGTACTCTACTGAGTAAGAAATACCTTGATGGAAATGCTAACAAATCTACCTCAGACGGAAGCCCCACAACGGCCATGGTGCCCGATGGGGTTCGAAAGGGCAGGATGGATTCGGAGCAGGGCCCTCCGGTTGGGTATTCCTCAAGTACTCTGGGGCCCAACCCTGGACTTATCCTTCAGGCTCTGACCCTTTCGAATGCTAGCGATGGATTTAACCTGGAGCGGCTTGAAATGCTGGGTGACTCCTTCCTAAAGCACGCCATCACCACGTACCTGTTCTGCACTTACCCCGATGCTCACGAGGGCCGCCTTTCCTATATGAGAAGCAAAAAGGTAAGAGGCATGATGCTTTAGTTTGGAGCACTTAGAGTAATTACCTAGTGCACCTGAGAGCAGTTCTAAGTGTCAGGTCTGTGAGATCAGAGCCTGACATTGCTACCCTCAGAGAGGGCCCCTGGGTAAACAACAGCCACTCCATCTCCACAAGGGCCACCGGAGGCACACGCCCCAGCGATGGTCTGTATTTGTGTTACTTTGTGTTGATGGAAATCCAGGTCAGAGAAAATTGTGCTGCGAGGCACTGGGAGTGGGGGGTGTCATAAACGTGCAGCCAGACATTCACGGGCTGGGGCTTTGGTGGAGTGGAGTCAGACATGCCCATATGCCTTAGACCCAGGTCTGTGTTGATGTGCTCGTCCCGAGAGTCGGGAAGGGAAAGACCAAGAGCTCTTCATGTGGCTGGTATGTCCCACTGTGAGTGCCTGCAGTGCTCGAGTTGTGAGGGAGCGGCCCTGGGAGCCCAGAGTCCGGGCCTGGCCTTCAGTATAGCATGGAATAAGACAGAGAGAGGAAAGCTAATGAGGGCAGATGATTGAAAAGGTGGTAAAGGAGCAGGCACAAGGCCACAGGGACTTATTCAGCAGTAGCCGTATGAATGGGGAGCTGCCTTTGCAGAGCCTGGACCCCAGGAGCAGGTGAACAGAATGTGTGAGCTCTCAGTGCTTAAACTAGGGTCCCAGTCAGACAGGGAACAGGCAAAAGAGGGGGCACACTGTGTTGTAAGCTCAGATGTAAGGCTAAGGGCTGTGCTGAGCACCTTGGAAGGGATTTTGATCAGGGTTAATAATATGAGTAAAATGGTATGTGTAAGTGAATACGTAGGGCTGGAATGACAAACCAGAGCAAGCTGAGCTCTCAGTTGGTCTTTGAAGAAGTCTAAGCTTGTGCAGCTCTGGTGTGGTGCTTTCGGATAAGCATTGGACTGCTAACCACAGGGTCAGCTGCTCCTCAGAAACCCTATACGGGGTTGCTACGAGTCAAAACTGACTCGGTGGTGCTTGAGAAGAGGAAGCTTATACAGAAGATGGGATCGAACTCACGATCTGGCACGAGGAAGGGACTGAGCTAAGTGGTGTTTCCGCGAACATTTCACAGTGGAGTCCTGGTGTGGTGCTGCAGGGTAATGCACTGGACTGCAAGGTCAGTTTCAACCACAAGGTTGATAGTTCACATTCACCAGCTGCTCCTTGGAAACTCTATACAGGGTTGCTATGAGTCGGAACCGACTGTATGCAATTCCCCTGATTGTCCTATGGACATGGCGCTTTCATTGTCCCCTTTTACAGATGACGACATTGAGGTAGGAGAGGCTAACTTGGACATAGTCACGTGGTCAGTCAGTGGCAGCCCTGGGATTGTACCCAGAAGGTCTGAGCTGCTTCCGATGATACCCACGCCCGCCCAGCACATACTGAGTGTGGGACTGCTCACTAAACCTCGGTGGGGGAGCACTCGTCTTGTGTGCCCACCTCCTAGATGGCACTGTCATTATCTGGTGTCTGGGGGAGGGGGCTGAGGTACAGTCCACCTTCTTGCTCCCCCCACGCCATCCATGTGGGGTGAGACTGAGGGGCTGCTTCAGGAAACGGGAAGTCAGGGTCAGATTTTGGACCTCTTGGGAACTCGTCAGAAATGACTCTGGCCTAGTGACAGTTTGGGAGTTAGCTCTTTAAAGATGGTCCTGAGGCTCTGAGACCAAGGGCTGATTGTGGGTATGGAATACAAGAGGCTGAGGGCGGAGTGTAATGTGAGAGAGTGCACCCCAGGGGCGAGGGGTCGAGGGAGAGCTGACTGTATGGGACACACCTAACTCTTCTGTTCTGTTCAAAGCCCTCTGCCACTGCTTTCTGCAGAAATTGTTCTCGCTTTTTCCACCAGGCATGTGAGATCCGCTGGGCTCCTACAGTCATAGCCCATACGCATTTGAGATCCCAGCCAGGTGTGAGCAGCCCCCTATTGGGCTCAGCTGAGGTGGTCCTACTGCAGTGTGCTGCCCTGTTTCCATGTGTGGGATTCTGCCACTCCCAGCCAAATGCTTGCTTCCTCCCCAGCCAGCCACTCTTCCCAGTCCACTGTGAGTGTGGTTCTGTGCTGCTCTCCCGCCCCCTGTTGGTGGTACTGGAAAGGAAGCCCGCAGTCAGCTGAGCCGGGTTCGCCCCAGGCAGTGTGGGAAAGCCTGGTGGTACACAGCGAGCATGGTGGGAGACCCCTGGTCCCTGCCAGCTGTGTGGTTCACCAGGGCCAGGCGTCTGTCTCTTTGGGGTGCAGTTCATGTGGTGGGTGCGTGTTACGTAGTACTTGAGTTACCTGGAGAAAAGCAGGCTCACGAAGCACTTCATTAGAAATGGACCCAGGTTTTAGGAAATGGATGTATAGTGGACAAGTCTAGACCCCAATTTCCAAGTAAAAACTAGACAGAAATGCCATGAATGGAGCAAATTCGGGAGAAGAAAGTCACTAGGAAAAGAAATAGACCCGAGGGTAGAAAATAAAGCTGTTTTATGAATGTTAAATAAATGGAGTTTTCTTTATTACCTTTAGCTTTATTACCATTTTAAAGTATTTGAGCAAAGAAAAAATATATTGAAATGTCATCCAAAACAGAAAATAGTATTTGGGAAGAACATTAAAATTGAAATCATATTTGTGGCTTAGATTCTAGGAACAATTAAACTGTTTCAACCTTGTACAGTGAGTGCCAAATTTCACTTCATAACGAGAGTTTCTGCATTCCTTTTCTTGATTTCACCAATATTATTCTGCCATCTTGACTTACTATATGGATTATGTTCTGTTCTGAGAGTACCGGTTAGCGTTTGATGGCATCAGGTTGTGTTTCAAATGTTTGAAACTGTCTATTTCTTTTGAGTCATTTATAAGAAATTTGTGTATTTATATAGATACCCATTTCTGTGATCTGCATTTCATATTCATAGCTATTCATCTAATTGCACTAAAGGGTATAGAATACTTCGGAATTTAATATTCTTTTTCTAACACGAGTGTATAGAAACGTATGTAACCCTTGTGATTGATGACCAGCTGTGTGAAGAATAGGTGTCATGGTAGCACAGTGGTTAAAGGTGAAAGGTCAGTGGTTTGAACCCACCAGCCAGCCGCTCTGCAGGAGAACGATGTAGCCATCTGCTTCCTTACAGATGGACGGCCTCGGGAAACCCAATGGGGGGCACTTCTCCCCTGTCCTTTAGGGTCACTAGGCATCAGCATTGACTTGATGGCACTGGGTTTGTAGCTCTGGACATGCTGACACGCCTTGTGTGACCATTGATGGATAAGTGTTGTACTAATCTTTTCTGCTAAAGGTCAGCAACTGTAATCTGTACCGCCTTGGAAAAAAGAAGGGACTGCCCAGCCGCATGGTGGTGTCAATATTCGATCCCCCCGTGAATTGGCTCCCCCCTGGTTATATAGTAAATCAAGACAAAAGTAACGCAGACAAATGGGAAAAAGATGAAATGGTAAGTTTGGGCAAACTGGAGTTTTGAAGTCTTTATTACTTTGGTAATAAAGGGGAAGACTTGTGCTCTATTGATTTTTGTTTCCTTTCCATTGGTGTGTATACAGTAGACTCAGATACCAGGGGGCTTCAAATGTTGGTGAAAAAAATGCCATTCTCTGCACTCCATTTTTCTGCAATCTGTATGAGGCCTCCTGGTATTTGATAGCACTTGAGGGATTCCTTCAAATGGGCTTTTCATCAAGTCTGGAACCAGTGTTGTTAAGTTTGATTTGGGGGCGGGGGGCGGGAGAGACGGCTACTGTTGGTATAATATCTTCCTCTTCCAAAGGTAGAAGAGCACAGCCACTAACAGTCAGTCCACTGCACCACCGTGTCCTGTTAGTTTATCCTAGAGGCTTGCTTCTGCTCAGACTTTTCAGGAAAATCTTGCTCTTGTTGCTCAGAGTTCTCTCGGTTAGGACTGTTTTTCCTCTTGTGCACATAAAGATTGACGTTTCTGGAAATAATTTAAATCTTGCCAGTGACTTAAGAAAACTAGAAATATTAGCTCCAGCTGCTTCATTTTGTCTTGTCTGGAAGGCCAGCAGAGGGCACCTGGGAGGCCTCTGAGCGGGGCTGACTCCGGGGCCACTTTCTGAAGTTTCATGCGCTTTCAGGCACTTTCATTTCCTGGAGGTTTAGTTTGCAGTTGTGCTTAAGTGGCACATTGTTGCTTTATTTTTGCTCCACACCAACGATGATAGTATGGTTTCTTTCAGCAACAAGCAGTCTCATCATGTCCTCTCATTTTATATCAGCAGCCTGAAATTTATTTCCAGTGGCATAGTGTGTGTGTATTCTGATTTTTACCTATTTCGTGAATATGTTTTTAACTCACACAGCACTTGGCTTGTTGCAGAAATGAGCTGTTTTAGAAAACTGTGAAGAGAAAATTTTTGCAAATTGTGTCAGAAATAATATTTGCACAAAACTTGGACATAGATAAACCTTAGAGGAAAAGGTGTAGGTTTTGTGGCAGCTTTAGAGAAAATGTTACGTTAAAAAAAAAAAAAAGAAAGAAATCCAGTAATAATTATCCTGTTTTGTAGATTTTTTGTTTTTTCCAGAATATATTCGGTGTATTGTGGTTGTTAATTTTAGCTTAAAGGTGACATTGGCATGCTTTTTTTTTTTTTTAAAATACAACACAAAGTTTTTTGTTTTTGGTTTTTTTCCCTCCCGTAAAATGTTGATGACTCAGCACTTTGATTCTTGTAATTTATTAAAGTATTGTTTAGGTTCTTACTTAATAATTAAAGCTTATACTGAAAGTAGGCCCTTCCATTAATTAGATAGTTATGTGTCACTTAACGTCCACAGTGCATTCTGTGAAAGAGGATGTTATGTGATTTCCATGTTGTGTAAACACCATATTATATACACACAGTTTTGTTCCTACGCCTGTCTTTTAACTTGAATGTGTACTAAGAAATTAGTTGTAATTTGTATCTAATGCTAGGTGTTCAAACGTTTGTCTTAGTAATACATAAAAACAGTCAAGAAACATTTCCGTATACATAGTGTCCGTTCTATTATGTATGTGAAAGTGTTAACCTTTTCTCATGTTTTTCTTTTTTTTTTTTTTTAAACAAAGTAATGGTAACAGTGTTCTGGTGTGTGTTGCAAAGTTGTACTTATTTGTTATTATGAACTATTAGCCATAGACCTTGAATTTGTAATGGAATAGGCTTTAATGGGGGTCGAGACCACATACGTACATGCGGTCGGTCAGAGACAGTGTGCCTGAATGGACATTGTGCTGCGCATGACTGCACTGGAAGGAGCACCCGGTCTTCTTCTTCCATTCCTGTCCCTCTGCACAGAGGGGACCATAAAGCCCTTGCCTTAGAATGCCCCAACAACTCCGGGAGATAAACTGAGTTGGAGGTCGGTCGTTGGAGGTCAGAGAAACGAGTGTGTGTGCTGGGGTTTTGCCTTTTTTTTTTTTTAAGATTTTGAAGTGCTCATAAAACATGAGAGTTCTTTGTTTTGCAGATGAAGAAACCGAAACCCAGAGGCCATAAAGGACTTTTCCCGAGATTACATAGGAATACTAAAACCCAGTCTTTACTGACATTTTGCTAATTTGTTTTCACACGCTGCCGATTTTAGCTTATGATAACATTTACTGAAGATGTATAAAGATTTGAAACTATTTTTTCTTCTTATTATTAAATTTTGCAGTCCTTTTTAAAAAAAAATATGAAGAGTTTGACCTTTTTTGGTTTTGGTCTTAAGGACAACGCGATACTCAAACACATCTCCGAGTACTTGGGGCAGGTAGAGGTTCTAGCGGGTGGTGCTGGATTATTTTAAAAGTTGTGATCAGACTGCTCTCAGAGCAGAGACAGGACTGAGTAAGAGTAGACAGGTCTCTTGGAAGTGCCTCTTCCTTTTTCCTGAAAAGGTTTTATAAGCTTTTAAATTAAAAATAAAAGATTATAAATAAAATATTTAAATTTAAAAGTAAAAGATTGTAAAGGGTCTGTAGTTCTAGATATGTGGTTTGGCTCACTGCTCTTCTGTTCAGATACACTATCTTTTTTGAAGCTGGTTTGATGAACTATTTGAGGTGTTTAGAAAATGCCTGACAGAAAGTTTGAACACTTCTTGTTAGGGACACTCTGGAACGCCTTGTGGTCAAAACTGAAGCGGAACCCTGGTTCCTCCCCCCAAAGTAAAGTTGTTGGGTGGTTCTCTTTCCTCTTTGCACATCAGAAATTTGGCATCTTTTGAGTATTGCCAAACAGTCACAGCATTCCCGAAGCCTAGGCTCTTACTAAGGTTGTCATTGACAAGTAAGCATCTGCCAAAGAGACTAGGATTAGCAAAGGTCTTCTGACAGAAATGGGCTTCTTGTGCTTCACCTCAGTCTAACTTTTCTTCTCTTTTTGTCAGCTACGCTGTAAGCCCCTCCTCCCCCCTCCGTCACTACTGCAGCTCAGAGTAGAGGGGAAAGGGGGGGAAAGCATAATTTCTCAGATTCACAGCTTCTTGTCCTTGATCACTTCGATTTCTTTCAAGCAGAGCAGTTTACGTGGTAGCGAATGTGCTTCGGTTCAAAGGGGATCTGGGGATCAAGCTTGCTTATAAAATCCTATTGTGTGTTTTCACAGTACGAAGGGTTTTAAATTATTTTATCTGTTCTCCTATTTTTCTTTCTTTTAAAACAAAGAATGCTTTTCTTCTGTCTGGAATTCCATTTTGTACATTTGAAAACTTTTAAAAAAATAGGGTCACCACATTTTGTACTTTGTCCACGGACTTTGAAGACCTCTGTGGTGGGCATCTGAGTACTTTGGTATGCATCCTGTGGAGGTCACGTTCTTCACCCAAGCTCTGCGCTGTGGACACTCGTTTTAACTTTCTATCCACGTACAAACCCTCAAACTTAAAGCTTCGTAGTTGATAAAGGTCATTTTATAACTTAGAAAACGAACATTCAAAGTACACGGTTTACTTTGTTTATATGATTAAATAACTTATTTATGTTAATTGAAAACAAATGGCCGTGATTTTAAAGTTGCCTTTTACTATTTGTGGTTGTCGTTTGAAATTATCCATAACCCTGGCTTTTATTGAGTTTCAAACCCTTTTAAAAACAGCAGTTCTGTCTCCCCTCCTTCCCATGCCCCCTCACTTCAGACGAAAGGCTGCGTGCTGGCGAATGGCAAGCTGGGCACTGACTATGAGGAGGACGAGGAGGACGAGGGGGGTCTCATGTGGAGGGCTCCCAAGGAGGAGGCCGACTATGAAGATGACTTCCTGGAGTACGATCAGGAGCACATCCGGTTCATTGATAACATGCTCATGGGCTCGGGAGCTTTTGTCAAGAAAATCTCTCTCTCCCCCTTTACAACCTCCGAGTCTGCCTATGAGTGGAAAACGCCCAAGAAAGCCCCTCTGGGTCACCTGCCGTTTTCCCCAGACTTTGAGGATTTTGACTACAGCTCGTGGGACGCCATGTGCTATCTGGACCCCAGCAAAGCCGTGGAAGAAGACGACTTTGTGGTGGGCTTCTGGAACCCCTCGGAAGAGAACTGTGGCGTGGACACAGGCAAGCAGTCCATCTCGTATGACCTGCACACGGAGCAGTGCATCGCCGACAAAAGCATCGCGGACTGCGTGGAGGCCCTGCTGGGCTGCTACCTGACCAGCTGCGGGGAGCGGCCCGCGCAGCTCTTCCTCTGCTCCCTGGGGCTGAAGGTGCTCCCGCTGATGAGGAGGGCCGATGGGGGCAAGGCCTGGCCCTCCGCTCGGGAGGCTCCCAGCAGCCAACAGAAGAACCTTCCAGCGGCCGGCCCACGCCCCTCAGTGTGTAAAGACCTGGAGTACGGCTGCTTGAAGATCCCACCCCGGTGTATGTTCGATCACCCTGATGCAGATAAGACCCTGAATCACCTGATATCTGGTTTTGAAAACTTCGAAAAGAAGATCAACTACAGCTTCAAGAATAAGGCGTACCTCCTCCAGGCCTTCACCCACGCGTCCTACCACTACAACACCATCACTGGTAAGGTGCCCGTGAGCCACCACGCTGGCTGCTGCGTTTTCTTGGGGGGAGCGGAGGGGGCGCCAGTGAGTGGAAGAGAGAAGAAAGCATCCTCCACGTCCCCACTGTTTGGGCAGCAGGAAGTCGGGAACTTGGATAGGTAGGTGGCAGGATGGCGGTGTGCTGTAGTGAGACCTCACGGGGCAGCTGGACCATTCTCTGTTTGCTTTCTATTAATGCTGTGTCTGCCCATCCACTCTAGGACAGCTTTCTGCCTAACACAGGGTTTCCGTTCCTGGCAGCCACGTCGTTGTCTGTCCACAGGCCGGTGCTGTGTTTCCTTGCCTGTCCGGTCCTGTCCCTGTCTTTGGGGGCCCCGATTGCAACCTGTAGTCTGCATGCAGCTCTGCACTCTCCTAAGGTTCTTTCCTGGGTCAGACGATGCTGCTCTCTGGGGCTTTGACGTCTGAGGATGACGAGAGTGAGAGAAATTTCACGGCATGTTCTCATCACTGTGGCTGTGACTTGGCCATCATCTGCGGTTTGTGCTTGCTCCCTCCTCGTGCAATAGGCACTGCCCCCGTTGGATTAGAAAGAAAACCAAACTGCTGCTCAGGAAACACACAGCACCCCTCCCTACGCTGTTTTCAGTAAAGCCAGTGCGTGCTGAAATCCAGCATCTAAAGCAAACTAGAACATTTGGCTTAGTGTTTCCTAGGTGGTAACACAAAAAGGGTTGTTAGGTTCAGATGGATCAGAAAATGTAAACCCAAAAACTGATCAGTCGGTACCAGAGACTCTGGTGAAGCGAAGGACCGTTTTTCTTGGCTTAGGAGAGATGAGATGCGGTTTTCTAACACAATGCACACGTCCGGTTGTCTGCCCTGTGAATAGACTTGCTTAGAGTCACTATAACTCGGAATCACCTCGATGGCAGGGGATTTGGATTGGGTTGGGTACACGTAGGAGACCAGCACCCTGGTTCTAGTCTGTCCTGGCCGGCCCTGCCTCTTCTCTCTCACAGTGTTCATCTCTTCCTGCCTCAGTCTCCTCAGCTGAATGGACTCTGTCTTCCAATGCTGACGTGGAGCGTTGCCACGGTCGCGCTCTGACAGTGTGCTGAGGCCTACACTCGCTCCACAGCTCCTCTGTCCCCATCTCCTGGTCATGTGTCAGCTGCCACCTCTCTAGTTTGAGTTGAGGACAGATCTTCCTTCCAGCTGTGCTCTTCCTGTGTGACACATGCACACCAGGAGTGTGAGCGAGAGCGCGTGTGCCGAAGGGCCACAGAGCACACGTGCGTGCAGGTCCCACTCTTCCCTGTGTGCTGGTGTGTGATGGAGACTTCAGCGGACTGTCCTGACCCCTCCCGGGCAGCACCACAGCACACGGCATCCTCTGCTGAGTCGTTTCCTTCACAAGCATTTGGGCCACTTAAAACCTTATGTAAAGAAATATGCTTAACTTGCCATTAAAATTTAATTTCCAGAGGCTTTGTCCAATAATTGGGACAAATATCTTGTCAAATGTCTGTGAAGATGGGTTGGGGGGCTCAGACCCTGCTGGCTGGTACACACAGTGTCGTCCATACTCACGGTTCCCCTTTGGACCCTCTCTCTCAGATTGTTACCAGCGCCTGGAATTCCTGGGAGATGCCATTTTGGACTACCTCATAACCAAGCACCTTTATGAAGACCCTCGACAGCACTCCCCAGGGGTCCTGACTGACCTACGCTCTGCGCTGGTCAACAACACCATCTTTGCATCGTTGGCGGTGAAGTATGACTACCACAAGTACTTTAAAGCCGTGTCGCCCGAGCTCTTCCAGATCATCGATGATTTTGTGCAGTTTCAGCTGGAGAAGAACGAAATGCAAGGAATGGATTCGGAGGTTAGTGAGAGCATTCCTTCAAGATGCATTTGGAGCTAAAAGACGCCACCCACCTAGGGCCCACGGTGGTTTCTGAGTCTGACAGCACAGCGCTGCTGAACACCTGCCAGGGCTGAGTTCTCGTCTTTGGGGAGTTGCCCTCACTGGAGTGGGGTGCATGTGTCATGCAGGTGGAGACAGGGACCTGGGAGGTCCCGGTTGGGTCCTTGTAACCCGTCCATGATGAGGTCTTTGGCTGTGTAGACTGAGGAGTTCTGCTCCTCCCCCAGAATAAAGGAGCTCGGGTGCCTCCTTCTGCCTGGCGTTTGAGGGGTTCAGCAGTATTTGCACACACTTCAGGGAAGCAGCGTAATGTGCATTCTGCTTGGCTTGAAATGGGAAAACTCTCTTTTGAAAACCAAACTTTGAAATTTGTAACCATTGGAATTTGGGAGACTTCTACTGTGAAGTTCAGCCAGAGGTTCTTTGGTGATGGAGCTAATTCTCATGGTTTGGGGAACTGTTTTAAATTTTTTGTAGGAAAGGATATTACTTAGATCTTTCCAATCTCCTCTAATCCTTCACTGACATCCATCTGCATACCTGTGTACCCAGGAGAGCATTCTCGTTTCTTCTCCTCCTCATCCTAATTCCTACCATTTTCTTATTTTTACACAGTTCTTATAAGGAGTCAAGGAATTTGTCCATAACTCTGCTAACCCCTCAGTTGTCCTTTAATTTGTACTTTTTTCCCCCCTCTCGCTCCTTTTTTAAAAAAAAATGACACCAGGCTATTGTTGAGACGTACTGAATTTCTCTGAGAAAAATTAAGGATCTCGGTTTTCATGTGGTTGTCCTTGTAGCTAGAAGGCAGAGTATCAAACCCTCTCCAGAGTGTGTGCTGGAGGGCAGCTGCTGCTTGCCTTCAGCTGTGGCCTTCACAGCCTTCCCCAGGATTGAAGGATTTCAGCTGGAACACAGCTCACCGTGAGAGACAGAATGAGAGCCATCTTGTGTAACTTCAACTACTATTTCTAACCTCGTTCTTTCCTAGAAAAGTGGAAGTTTAGAATTTGAGGAGTTAGCTAAAATTAGATCCCAGTTCTCTTTTGAGGCTAGAAGGGCATAGTGGTTCTGTTAATTTTCGTTGATTCTTTTCACTCTCTTTGTTTATCGAAACATATGGGTAGAAGTTACAAAAGCTGACTGGAAATACTGTGGTCTGGCTTTTCTAACTTACTAGCTGTTTGATGTTAAGAAAGCCCCTCTACTCTGGGCCTCAGTTTCCCCATCTGCAAAGGAGAGCATTGAACTTGGGTTTTCACTTGAAACCACAATAGAGCAAAAGCAAGTCTCCTGGCTTTCCTAGTGGTCAGCACCATAAATGTTACAGCACTTCATGGCTCGGCAGTCTGTTGAAGGACTGCTCTGTCTCCCCTTTCTCTGTACTTCCGTTACACAGTCATTTGTGCTTATTTTAGAAAACAATGACAGATGCAGGTAAACAAAACGAAAATTAAAGTGAGCCAACTGTGCTTCCCCAGAAATAGCTGGTGAGTGACGATGTCATTCTCTATGGGCTATGTCTTTTGCTTGTGTAGATAAGCCCTAAACCAACATAAAAATAGGAAACGGGATTCTCCCAGGCACAGACTACTGCTCCAGCCTGTTCCTGTCACTTATAAGAGCGTGACGGCTCCACGTGCACTGACAGGCATCCTGGGTTTTCACAGCCGTGATCGTCACTCTGTGGGTACACTCAGCTCTGATTCATGTCCTCACACAGTCGCTTGTAGCTGGATATTTCAGTTGTTTATAGCTAAGAAAGCTTTGTAATAAATGCCGATGTGATAAACATGCCTCTGTGTCCAGTTACCTATGTAAGCTGAGTTCCTAGAGAGAGAACTCAGCTAGCGGCTGCATCTGAGTTGTGCATGTTACAGTGGTTTCTGATACCTGTGTCCGTTTTTCTTACTGTTAATACCTCTCATGTGTCACATACTCCAGAAAAGGAAGGACAGAGAAAAATGTCTTCCAAACAGAATTTCCCTGTTGAGCAAGCAGAAATGTATTCTCAAGCTAGCCTGGGCCGCATCTGCACTGTACTACTTAGTACTGGGTCTAACCCGTGCCCATCTGCTAGTGGTAGGATTGTTCCAATATGCACTTCTTTGATCAATAGTGATTAGCACTGGTTTTTTTTTTGGGGGGGGGAGGGGGCGCGGTGCTTATAGGTTTATTGACATTTCGAATTCTGTTCAAGTTTTTTTTTGGTTTATATTTAGAAATAAAATATTTCTTCTTGCTGGGTGTAGAATTACTAACAGGAAGGGAATTTTTACTTTTTCTTCCCACCCCCTTGAGAAGTTTGAACAAACTGCATTTTTTGGAAAGTTAAGATGATACTTGTGGAGACTCTTAATACGGGACGTATGGGCCGCCCATAAATGCGTGGCATTGTGAACCCTTGTTGAGGAAGTAATGATATAAGAGAACCTCCGCCCCCGCCCCGAGAACTGACATTGTGATGACCTTGGTGCTTTGGGTGACTTTAACTTTTCTCCCTGTAACAGCTTCGGAGATCTGAAGAGGACGAAGAGAAAGAAGAGGATATTGAGGTTCCCAAGGCCATGGGGGACATTTTTGAGTCTCTTGCTGGCGCCATCTATATGGACAGTGGGATGTCGCTGGAGGCGGTCTGGCGGGTGTACTACCCCATGATGCGTCCGCTCATAGGTACCGGTGGCCCCCTTCCAGAGAAATGAAGCATGGAATTAAGACCCACCTTGCGGCTCTCACTCACTCCTGTTTCCTTTTGATCACAGAAAAATTCTCTGCAAATGTGCCCCGTTCCCCTGTGAGAGAATTGCTTGAGATGGAACCAGAAACGGCTAAATTTAGGTAAGTCCAAAGGTGCACAGAGGGAAATGGTGCCGCTGTTAAGGTGGCTTGTAACCCTGTCACCACGCAGGTTTGATGGGTGAGCTTTCACCCAAGTCCCAAGTAAGCAAACAAAACACCCAAGTGGTGGACGTGTTCTCAGAAACTCTATAGTGAGACCGATTTACCCCACCCCCGACGTCAGCCAGGTTTCCAGTTGTGGCCTGCTGGCTGATGGGCTCGTCATGGTCTTTTATGTTTATGAGAAAGTTGGGCTGAATTCACAGGCTGCAAGCCCGTCTGCTGGCAGCATGCTGTAAGTCTCTATGGCCCATTTGCTTTGTGTGGTGTCTAGAGGGTGCCTACCTGCTGCTGACTGACTCCTTGTTCCATCTGTGTGGCTTTGTTACAGCCCGGCTGAGAGGACCTATGAGAGCAAGGTCAGAGTCACAGTGGAAGTCGTAGGGAAGGGGAAGTTCAAAGGTGTCGGCCGAAGTTACAGAATTGCCAAATCTGCAGCAGCAAGAAGAGCCCTACGCAGCCTCAAAGCCAACCAGCCTCAGGTCCCCAACAGCTGAAATCCCTTTTTAAAATGAAAAACAAAAAAAACACACACAGGAAAAAAAAAAAAAAAGCAGAACAGAATTAAGGGGGAAAGGATGGTTTCTGCAGTCGACATTCAGTGGGATGAATTGAAGACAGATTTAAAGTGTGTCTGATGACAAGTGAGAAAACGGAATAAAACATTTAACATGTATATGAAGTTTTGGGAGCTAATTGTAGTTCTAGTTTTTTGCGCAGACACAATCTTGTGTTGTCTCCTTACCTCTGCTCCCTTAAATCACAAGAGCGCTTTAACGCTGACATTCAGCAGGTGGACAGGTTTGTGGCTGGTGTGTTTTCTTCTTTTCCTTTTTTTAGTTTGATTTTGGTCAGCTTTGCTTAGTGTTAGAAGGCCAAGGTGCTTAACCCTAGAGCAGTGCCTACATTTCTCTAGACTGTTCTGGGGTGCACTGCACTAGTTGTTCCTCTAAATGAAGTGGACTGGTTTGCATGAGCACAGGGAGCGCCGTGGTGTCTTTTCCCTTCTGTGCTTGAGTGTGTAAGACGCTGTCCCAGTTACTGCTGATGGAAAGGGACAGAGTTTGATGAACATGGGCTGTCATGTTGGTGAATCAAATTTTCGTTTTCTGATGCCACATATTCTTGGATAAGCAGGGTTCTTGCCTTAAAACCCTCATGGGTCTCCTTTAATTTCTGATCTTTGGTGGAACAAACTATCCTACATTCCCATCCTTTTATTCTGCATTTGATGTGTAGATAACTGCAACTCACAAGGATAGTTGTAACCTAATTTATGACAGGATTATACTATGGTTTTGGTCCTATGTGTACTGAAGAAATTTGAAAAACCAGACTTGTGTAGTCTGTGGACTTTTTTTTTTTTAAAAAAAAAACCCCATAATGAAAGCAATCTTTGGTTAAAATATCCAGCTTCCCTGCAAACCTCCTGCTAGGTAGTCCCACTGGGGGGACGGGTCCGGCAGTTAATTTGGCCACACTGACTGACGTTATTCTCACAGATAACCCTTAGGCATCCCACCCCTACTGTATGCTGCAGGTTTCCGCACGGGGTACCGACTGAGGGAAGCAAAACAGAGCACCTTTCCCCGAGGCTCCTGGTCCCTTTCTCTTCCTGTGCTGCCCTGCCCGGTGCTGTCTGCCAAAGCCTTGCCCTCCACCCCAGGGATGGTCCCCTCTGTACTAAAGCTCCTGGCTTCCGTCTTGGGTAAAGAAGAGAGAGAAGAGACATTTGAGACTTGGTTGGTCGGGGGTCGGGCTTTCATTCGGCTACTAGGCACTCTTCACTTAAATACCTCAGTTCTGTTCTTTGGCGTTTCCTCCCCCTTTGGTGCTGTCTATGTATTATGCTTGAACTTGTTTATTTTATTTTTTTTTTGCACTGTAACTACAATACCTCTTCATTTACCTTTTTAAAAAGCTGTGGGTCTGTGTGTGTGTGTAACATATGTATTACATACACACACATACAAGTAGAGGTTTGCTGCAATTTGCCCCGTTAATTACGCTTGAAGTTTCAGAAAGCTGAGCCGAGGTGGCCTGTTCTCTCTAGCTCACCATTCTGAACGCGATGCTTCGCGTAATGCTGCATGTGTGTTCTTAGTCACGGTCCAGTACTGGACTTCTTGCAACTCCCCGAGCCACCTTTCTGTCCGTCGTCCCCCCCAGAAACCTCTTTCACATGCACCCACAGAAAATTGCTCCTCTGGCAAGGGTGGGGTATGGAGCTTCCCCCAACACAATTTGTTGCCTCCACTCTTAAATTTGAGTCATGCTCAAAATGGTTAAATGAATTTCCTTTGGTTGAGTTACGTGAATTTTGGTGGATTCATTTTTACGATATTTGATTCTGGTAGGGAATGTTCTATTTGCACGAAGAGGGGCTTCCAAAACTTCATGGGAAATGGAATGAAAAGATGATGGGATTTTTTTCATGATCTTTTTAAACCTCCCTCGCATTTGATTTAAAAACAACAACAAAAACAAAATCTCCGTGTGTAAGATAATGGTAGGTTCAAAACCAAGAATTTGTTGAATTGTGTAATTGTGAATGTGTACAATTAGCAAGGCGGTTTGGATATGAACTTTTATCTGTGAGGGTGATTGGAGATGGAATTCCTTCACAAGTCTGAGAGATGTATAGATTCCCTGAGCCCAGGACTGTCGAGGGGCTAGCATCATAGCTAATGCACTAACATCACAGGGCTAGTGGCTCGCCCACCTCCTGGCACCCAAACACATTGTTCCATAGTTTTGATTGAAAATGCCTCAATCTATTGTATAACCTTATGAAAACAATATTTTTGGTTGATAGGAAAACATTCAGACTCGGATACAAATTAGGTCAGATGTTCTCAGGGGTTCGAATTTCTTGCTACCATTCGAAATGTTTTATCCACTGCAAACTGGAGCTCTGTCATTTCTTTTGGAGAAAAATAGTCGACTTTCATTTGAAGCATTCTATGATCCCTTGGTTGCTTGGTTTTTACAATCAAGTTATGAGTCAGCATTTGAGGTGGTGAAGAATGCGTTTGTGCTGCTGAGTTTGCAATGCTGTAAAGGCCCCCCCTCCCCTCCCCCACTTAGCTTGTAGTAATGGTTTGCCTTTGTCGATTGGGGGAAAAGCACACGTGTGCACACACACACACTCACGACTGCGCACGTCATCCTTCTGTTGTGTGACAGCCGTGTGAGCCCAGGGTAAGGTGCAACTCAGACATTCCTCAGGTGGAGGTCAGTTGGAAACGTTTTTTGTGTCTCTCCTCGGGAAGTCCTAACTGTTGCCTTCGCCCACAGCCTCTTCCTGAAGCTCAGGTGAGCGCTTTTGCCAGGCGTTACCTCAGTTCCAGGAAACTAGACTTCACCTCCAGGAAGCAAAAAGGTGGTTTGGCCCTGCTGCTGCTCTGATTTACCAAATTTGAAAAACAAAAACCATCATTCGAATGCCTGCCATGCAGCCGGGACTTACCCAACCTGAAATCATTTTTGTCAGTGGCATTTTGTACTGTGTGTGAAAGTCTGACCTCAATCTGTTAACGGAACTCTTAATTGTGTTTTTAATGTTTGCTGTCTCCCCCCCACCCCCCCACCCCCACACACACCATTTTATGTTACGTCACGCTACATCACGTTTAGAATGACCTCTAGCTGGCCCTCCCTGTAATCATCTCTAGAAATACTAACGTTTTTACTTTCTTGCTCATCGCTTGTCTTCAGCAAGATTGAGAGCCAAAAGGCAAACAAGAGGCTGCAAGCTACTCTGCTTCTCCTGGTTGAGCTCGTAAGCAAATCTGTTCCCCCAGCACTCGGCTCTTCCCATCATCACTTGAAATCAGACTGTGACGTGACTGCAGATGGACAGACTGGAGTCAACACCCAGGTCCCCCTTGGCCTAACACTTTGTATCTCGCTTTGTTGGGGGTGTCTCTGAGATGTGGCTGTCTCGGTTCAGACCGTAGCTGAAATGACCTTGGAGTCTGTCTGTCAGCATCTGCATCAGCAGCAACAGGCGGACAGGTCTGGGTCACGCTCTGTACCGACTATGGGGTTCTGTCATTTACATTCAAAAAGGTCTATTTTTTCAACCACTGATTACTTTTCGGGAATCTAATGGTTTTCCAAATAAATTTCTTGATTTTATATTGTACATTCAAAGTTTTTAAGATATGTTTGTGTCAGACCAAGAATACTAAAGTGATGATCAGCGGTCTTGTTACAGTTACCAGTGGCATTGTCTAGAGAATTTGTGTCCGCGGGACCTCGTGTGACTCACTTGCTTTGAAAACGATCTTTCAAAACTTGTAAATAGATTGTATCCTTTTTTGTTTTGTTTTATGTTTGTTCTTTTTTTTTCCTAGTCCATTTTGATTTGGACATCAACCACAGGTGATTAAATCCTATCGATGCATTCAGAAGTATCTGCCACAGCAAGTGCTGTAGCAAAGATGGACAGGAAGTAAGATTTCTGGCTTTTCTACTGTAAATAGAGCGGAAGGAAAATGACTAAAATCAACTAAAATTCACAGCTATCATTTGATTGATAATAAAACCTTTGCCAGGCCACGCCGCCGCTGTTTTTTAAGAAGCATGGTGTCATTCATTCCCACATACATCATCATGTTGCCGAGCCGCACTCTGCACCTTATCGATCACAATGACCTTTACTCGGGATTTTTTGTTTTCTGTTGGGGTTTCCTTTCTCTTTTCTTTTCTTTCCTTTCCTTTTTTTTTTTTTGTAGTAATTGTAGCAAGTAAATCTCCAATAAAGTTATGGTCTGTTTATTTTGTGCCCTTTTGTCTTTTTGCTTTCTCATTTTGATTCAAATCAAGTTGTTAAGTTTCCTCAAGTTGGTGCATAGCAACCCTGCGTAGGGTTTCAGAGAAGCAGCTGGTGGGTTTGAACCACCAACCTGGTAGTTAGCAGAGCTCTGGTAGCGTAGCGTAGTGGTTACGAATCGGGCTGCGAACCTTAAGGTCAGTAGTTCGAAACTACCAGCTGCTCCGCAGGAGAAAGATGAGGCTTCCGTAAAGATTTACACCCTCGGAAACCCTGTACAGGGTCGCTATGGGTCAGAACCGACTCCACGGTGTACAACAACAACAAAGTCGGAGCAGAAATGATCTTTAAAGCAGGGTGTTGAACCAGTTTGGCCCCTTGCTGAGAATTTGCTTTCACCCTGGAATGGCAGAATCTGAATCTGCAGGTGATGCTTTTGTATCCACAGCTACTGGGGATCTTGTTAAAATGTCCATTCGGAAACATCCTACCTGGCCTGGAACGGGTTGGAAATCCTGCTTTAAATATTTTCTGTTCAATGGTGCTAGAATGTGAAACACGATGGGGAAGGTACATAATTCATTATGATTTATTCATTGTTGGTCACCAGGTTCTGCTTCTTGTCTACCTGTGGCATTATACTAGTGTATTTTCCCTGCTCTGTTACAGCTTAATGAATGCCCAAGCGTTTTTCTGAATTTCTACCACACTGATGGATGT